AAAAAAAAACGAAAAAATTGGTCGGACCAATGTTAAAATTTCAATCTGATTTCGATTTCTCCAGGTCTACCAAGAACGAACATTACGTCGTCTTAAAGCTGAAAATCCTGCTTTTCTGGCTGCTGTTTCGCGTATGGAAGCTGACAAACAATGCCAAGGACTTGACATGCGCTCATTCCTTATGTTACCCATGCAACGCGTTACCAGGTACAATTCATAGTAAAATTCATGAGTGACATTATACAATACAATGGTAGCGAAAATTTATTAGGTACCCTCTTTTGGTCTATGCTATTTTGGATCGACTAAAAAGGGGATGCGAAGAGTACGAGGTCGCCACGAAAGCTCTACATGCTGCCAATAGGGTGAGTGTACTGTAGCAGAGCGCGAATGCACATGGTGTTATTGCGTACTGCGCGCGAGATTTGAGTAATAATTTTGTTATTTCAGGTCGTAGGAGAATGTAATGAAGGAGCTAGAAGAATGGAAAGGACTGAGCAGTTGCTAGAAGTTGACAGACGACTCGTTTATAAGGATCCGGACTTGAAGTACGTTATTACAGTCATCATATGAAATTGTTAGGAATGAAGGTCATGAAAAGGGTCCCATTTTATTATTTTCTTTCCCAAAAAAAGAAACTCCTATGCATTAGAAGGAAAAGAGATGCATTTTTTCAGGATGCTATGGTTCTTATAGAAAGTGTTGACAACTTTCAAATTCAATGATTTAGGAAAATTGCTTTGGTTTCGAATTGCCGTTATCTGGTAAAACGAGGTTCTCTGGTTCAACTAGTGGAAAGGAAGAATAGAAATATTCTGCAGGTATACTTTATACTTTACTGTGGTCATCAATCAAGACTCAGAATATAGAATCAGCACAGCAATTTTCTTTTGTAAAATTAATTTGAGGTGGGTACACCTCCAAAAAATTGTGCAATTTTTTAACACCCTGTGAAACTTATAGTATTGAAAGATTCTGTACATCAAATGAGTGATCTAAAATAGACTTGTTGAATGACTATTCATCGTTTAATTTAGGGTAAACAGAAAACACGAAATGTCTACATATTTCTCTTCTCTGACATTATTTTAGTAACGAAGAAGAAGCTGTAAGT